GTTGGTAGTGTCTCCAACCAGGCACATTAAGGATCACGCGGTCCTTATCCTATAAGGCAAGTAGCACCGACAGCACCCAAGCGTTTCGTGATCTCTTTCATATTCCTCTGTCAAGTCAAGGGTTGGCCACCTCTCTGTTTACGCTACTCTGAAATGGGCATGAAAAATAGCACTCTCTTCGGCAGATGATGATTTGGTATACGCAACACATGTCCCAACCAACGTAGCATTATACTCCATTGTTGTATTCAGACAATATAGCAGTTTTGAGCATTTTCTGCCTGTAACAATGTTTGCGCAGTACATGCTTCCTTTGCAGCGAAAGCGATTAAAACCCTTCGAATGCCACTTCATTTGTGCAACCAATCTAATGTACCCATTTTTTGAAATGATAGGTTACTAGCAGATCCATATTAGCCACATTGCTTTATTTTAATGCACGAAAACTTCATTCTTGAAAACTGGAATTTTTACCTCTGTTGTTTGTCTCTTAGATAGTGGGCTTCAGTGTGGATGCTTCAGTGATGGAAGTGGTCACTATTTTGGATTTCTTCGAGAAGGCTGATAGTAACAAAATATGATTCTTCTGCAGCCCCCAGTTCATTCACAATCCCCCCACTTGACAACCCATTGACAGTGCTGGATTTATGCACCAATTTATCATCTCCCGCCTGCAGTGCTCTGCTACCTAACCCCCCCCCCCCCCCCCCCCCCGAAAAAAATCATCGGTGGACGGAACTGCGGCAGCTCCAACCACTGTACGACGAGTACGTGGTTATTACAGCTGACGATGAGGATGATGAGAAACGACGTTTAAAAAGGAAAGAAAAATTCTGAAGTAGGCTAATAACTGCAGGGAGCGCCTGAATTCGTCACCCCAATCCAATTAGATGATTACCGGTAGTATTGGTGAACACAGTCAATAAACTAACTTGTGGTTGCAACATATAATATTTATTATGTATTTCATATTTACAGTAGTACGATGTGTTTCCAAGAGTTCCAAAAGAATGGATGCCACATTAATTCATGAAAAACAATGTAGAGGCAATTGTCGAAAGGTGTAATAAACGCGTGCGAAATGACCGCGTAACTGGAGAACTGGAAGTGTAAAAAATGAAGACAACGCGAAGTTATTTAACCCGAAAAAGGATGTGGCTGATTTTAAATCTACTTCCCACAAAATAGCACCGGCAGGATCAATAATATGAGTGTTTTCTACCTTGACTCCATCTGTTTTTCGTCATTTTTTTACACTTTTGGTTGTTTTTATGTCATGCTTATCCTCTAAGAACATCTTTGGAGTGCCCAAATAAAAGTTGACTGTCCCGGGGTCCCCATTCAGGAATACGGCAATGGCCAGCGCAGCTTAGTTTGCCGGTATTGGCTTTCACACTTCACTGCCGAGTCGCTGTTTGACCGCCTCTGGCTCTCTTCCACCCTCCACGTGGTTGTGCGAAAAGAGCTCTTCGACGGAGTAAGTCGACTGGCACACGCGGCACGTGGGCAAGCCAGCGCAACCTACGCAGTGTGATCAGTTCATCTATCGAAAGTGAGTAATTTTTCCCGGATACCATTCGACGTACTTCAGCATTGCATTCCTCAGTGCGCAGCGGCGGTAATTTGCATGCGCACTGTATCAGCAGGGATAGATCAGAATACAGCATAAATTCTCGGGTTTCATCTATAATTTTGACGAATGAAAAGTATAGCAGGTGAAGCAGAGACAGGCAAGAACGAAAGTTATGCCGAACTAGCCACAGTTCGTTTAAAGGACCCTAACAAACAAGACCGGTTACAGTATATCCAAAGCGGAAGGATGAAAGAGGCAGCATGAGGAATCCCCTGCACACACGAAATGTACTCAAGTCACTGACCAGGCAAGGTTAGTTCGTAGCCCTGTTATTATCCAGTGAAAACCGTTTGCACTTGTGTGCACCACCGATATGTTTTGGGGAAAACTAATCAAAGTATAACAAACAC